AGAAGACCGTATTTCAAAGGACCAACATGGGTTTGTTAAAGGAGAATCTTGTTTGTCAAATCTTTTGGAGACTTTCGACACTATACTTAATTTAATAGATGAAGGTGCTCCTGTGGACTTATTTTATTTTGATTTTAGTAAAGCTTTCGATTCTGTTCCCCATTATCGCTTGATTAACAAGCTAGAGAGTCTAGGGATAACTGGTAAAGTTTTAGATGTAATTACAGATTTTATCTCAAATAGAACTATGAGAGTGTGTGTAGAAGGTGAAACTTCAGAGTGGAAGATTGTATGGTCAGGAGTTCCCCAGGGATCAGTCCTTGGACCATTACTATTTGTGTTATTTATTAATGATTTACCAGATAACATTAAAAGTAAAGTTAAAATATTTGCTGATGATCTTAAGCTTATAGCTAATGCCTCCGAGCATGAAACTATAGCTAATGATCTGAACGAACTAGAGATGTGGGAGAGTAAATGGCTTTTAAAGTTTAATCCTACTAAGTGTTCAGTAATGCATTTAGATGTTAACGATAACCCAAGATCAAGTTATTCTCTTAATGGAGTTACATTGGCAGAATCTGTACAGGAAAAAGACTTGGGAGTTATAACCCATAACTCTCTGCTTTGGAATGAACAGATTAAGGCTTCAATATCTAAAGCCAACAGAATGATATGTTGGATTGTTAGAAATCTGATTATCAGGGAAAAATCTGTGATGATATCCATTTACAAAGCTTTAATAAGACCCCATTTAGAGTATTGTGTTCAATTGTGGAGTCCAGTTGCGGCTCATGGAAGTTGGGGGATCATCTTGGAGCTGGAGAGCGTCCAGAGGCGGTTTACCCGTCTGATTGACGAGGTGGGTACTCTTCCATACAGTCGTCGACTGGAAATCCTCAATTTGACAACGCTGGCAGAGCGGCGAATACGTGGGGACCTCATTGAATCTTTTAAAATGATAAGTGGTTTGGCCAATTACGGAGCTGGTTTGTTCAGTATGAGCAGATCTGGTCTTAATGTGGTATCAAACAGTAGATGCAGTAAAAGTAGCAGTAAAATGAAGAAAGTCCACAGTTCTTTTCTTCCGGAGAGGGTGAGACCATATTGGAACAAACTCCCCTCGGATGTCAAGAATTGTGGGACTGTGTTAAGTTTTAAAATAAGATTAGAGGCTTTCAAAAAAGAGACTATTTTAAACGGATCCGTAAATGATATTCATTTTTGGTATGTTTCGGACGAAGTATTAGGAAAGATTGAGGGATTAAATTATGCTACTAATAAAGAGAAGCACAATGAATATCTTGTGTGTCATCCTCATGTTGCTAAGAAACGCTTTATTAACTTATATAGTAGTGGAAAGTATGTAAATTAGATTCATTTTATCTTGGTTGTTTAGGCCAATAGATTTAAGATATTTTTAAAACTTTAGTAGATATATTTTTGATGATGTGTGATGATGTTTGTGTCATTATATTTTGATTTGATTTGATTTATTTAAAAAAAAAGGGGGGACCCCCAACCCATGTAGCTGAGACACCTCACAGCAAGTAGACCAAAGTGGCTCTTGCTTGTGAAAGGTGTATCAACTACCCGGTGAGTCGGGAGAAAACAACAATTTTATTTAGTACCAATTAAAGCAGACAAAAATATATTTCATATATATATAACTAGCACGAACTTTAGATCAGATATCTTAGGGGACTTGGAGTAGCAAGAGATTGACTAAAAGGTATATAACTTTTACAAAGATACGTCGAGAAGAATCCAGGGTGATACAGGATCGGAGAGTGCAGACCAAAAGTTTACGCACCCACCTTTGCCTCCTGAGTTCTTGGTTGGGTAGAAATTTATGCAAACTTGGTCGTTTATACTCCAAGTCCCTTTCTTAAAAGAAGTAGTATTAACTATGTCTAGAGTTAGCTTTGTTCAATAATAACAATATCAATATAATCAATATCAATACCAGATAAACCTACCGAATAAATTATTAAATATCAATTAATTCATTCCGATAAAAAATTTTATAGATTTAGATATTTAACTTATCTAAAAACATTACAACAAATGTTTAAAAAGCGCCCAAAATCGATTTGAAAGATTTTCTGTCTATAGTACAATCATGATAGTAATAGTAAGTGTGTGCCGCTGCAATTAGATTTGATTACTGCAATTTAAAATTGTTTGGAGTCCAAGTATCTTTTAAGTCAGCTGCCTGTGCTTGTATTAATAGTGCTTTGGTTCTCAGTTTTATCAAGCTAATGGACGTTTCTAAGCAATTGCTTGAAGTTAAAATTTTTTTATGAACAGCGTTCCAAAGCTTGGCTGCATTAAACAAAAAGGTATTTGATTTATTTAGGAGAATAACCATTAGACTCGTTGCACGGTTTGAAATGTTGATAGCCTCATAAAGGGAGTATGGGCAGTGGTACTTGATAATCTTAGAGAATTCTAAAATACAGTGATATTTGTACAAGTTTTGAGCTGTAAGAATTTGTAATCTATTAAAAATGGGTTTTGTATGCTCCTTTTCAAAGTGTTTATGGTCTGGAACTAGTGATAAAACCTCATGGATTATTGATTGTACCTCTTGCCCTCAAACCTGGCACAGCAATTGTTGTAATCTAAAAGGTATTTCCGAACAGTTTGTTACACAGATAGAGGATTGGCTCTGTCCGCTTTGTTTCAGTGCCCCTGGCGTGACCATCCGTAACAACCAACAGATCGAGACTTTACTTCTCAATATGTCTAATCTGAGGAATAAAAACACTGATCTTGAAGAAACTGTCATGAAAATGGAGGAGAAACTAACTTCGCTGATATCCAACACAAACGATCTCGGAGCTACTACCAAGACCATTTCTGAGAGAATACTCAAGCTAGGAGACATTGAGCTACATATTCAACATCGGACCCTCCAAGAAGGTCAGGTTGATGAGAAACTTAAAACTATGAAAAATCAGATCACTGAGCTTCAGTCTAGTATGGATGACCTTAAGAAATCAACTGCCTCCTCAAGCAGCCCTCAAATCACCCAAGCACCATCAAGCTCTCAGCCCTGGGTCCATCCTAGTCGTGTCACACCACCCACCCACCCACTCACCCACCCACCCACAGTTGTCCCTGAACCCACAACTACCATAGAGCACAATCAGAAAAGCTTCACCGACCTCAAACTAGAATTTATCAATGAAGATACAGCCTCAAATATCACCACATCACTAGAGTCATCGTCATTTGTGTCTGAATCAGGCCGCTCAACTGTTGCATTCGGAGCTCCTTACACGTATACAGGTTCCAAATCTGGTGCCGATGCAACCCCAATCCCCCTGGTGCTTCAGCCGATACTGGAGAAAATCAATGTCCTACAAAAGGAATTATTCTACGAACAGCACCCCACCTTCAAGTCACATCCTGAGAGGCATCCTTCACCTCCTGTCATCAACTCATGTCGCATAAATAGGTACGAAGGCCCTAATAGTTCACTTCCCAGCCAATCCGACGACGAGCCCACTATAGATGTCGAATCATCCATTTTCACACTGTCCCTCGGCCAAGAATGCTCCATCCAGTTCCTTGACAAAAAGTCTGGTGTCAAGTCTGACCTAACATCCACCCACCGATCACTCTATCATATGACAAGAAAATCACAAGACTTTTTCACTCATTCAATTCCAGAAGGTAACGTCACCCAGGATATCAGATATAGCCTCACGTTCAGATCAGTTAACTGGAAGAACAAAAACTCTACAATCTTGATAGGAGATTCAAATACAGGAATGCTCAAGTTTGGGACTAATAAACGTAATACATTTGGTGAACTCATGCCTGGCCTTAAAGAATGGGCGCCTATTATAATCAACAACATTGACCCTTACAGCTGTCAATCCTACAGCAATGTTGTTATCATGTGCGGGATAAATGATATAAAGCAACCTCAAAGTAACGTCAGAAGTGTATGTAGTTCGCTGTTAACAAAAATAAAAGAAATTAAGCTGCTGAACCCTATATGTTTTGTTTCTGTTTGCCCGCTGCTTCCTACTAAAATTGCTGATTTGAATAGAAAAGTAAACTTGTTTAATGAACTGCTGACGAACGGTCTTGCATCTATGAGTTCTGGTGTTCAGAGTGTGCAAGGTTTTAATGGCTTTGCTGATCATTATGGCATGTTGGTCCATCAATTGTCCAAGACAGTTGATCGACAAAACAGGCCTGACACGCTTCA